TAGGCTGATACAGAAGGAAGTATCTTTCCAAAGGTATCCTGCTCTAGGTATTTACTCAAACGTAAATACTCAAAGGTAAATACTTTGAGGTAAATACTCAAAGGTATTTAGGACTTTCAAAAGTAATCACCAACACTTTGAACTGAACCCAGTAATATATTAGGTGTTACTCAGAAAAGTATTCCAAGGTGACAATTTGAGCAATGGTGAGAGGGCAAAAAGGTGGAAAGGTTTCTGTCTGGAGCTGTCTAATGCAAAACTTTCCTGGCACATACTTTGGACCAATATCATAAAGGCTGCTGATGTGAAGACACAAAGCCTGCTTTAATTTAAGTGCTTTTTTAAAAAGGCATTTTTATTGTTAGCCATATTGAGTGCTATTCTTGAGTGCTAGAACAGCAGGATATAGAAAAATTAAACAAAAATGAATGCAAAATGCTCCATCAAAGCAAGATACAGAGAGTGAATATGTGCAGGGACTATTTCACTGTCAAACAGAGCTGCTACCTTTGGTTTCTTGACAGCATATGTTCAACAGATGCAACTTCTACTTGCAGGGAAATACAATAATGGATAAGAGCCATACCTGTTTAATTTCTCCTGTTAACGTCAGAGATTTTGGTTGAAAGAAAAAGATGGCCAGGCAGACTTCAATTGGCTATGGCTACCAAGAATATTTTATCTCCGAGAATTGTGGAATGGTAATAAAACAAAAACCGTGCAACCCCAAATGTGGTGTGACTGTACAGCACACTGAGACTGATACCAAACATGGAGGGATGTGTTCACTTAAAAAGAAGTAGATGCTGCTGGCAGCACAATCAGGAGTCAGATGAATTTATTGCAAGGACTCCATTTAAGAAAGCAGCATAATGCAGTCACACTGCATAAAATAAGGCAGAGCTCCCTTACAGTGATTTATTAAGAAACAATTACAGAAAAGTACGGTTGAACAAAGAAACGTATTTTACTGAAGGCCCAGGCTTCACTGCATGTCTTGAGAATGCTCTGTACAGCTGCTTATCTTCTGTAATTCAGGCCTGCCAAGATAAGGCTCCACTGTTTTGTAGATGAACCCTAGTTATGGCAGACATATGGTGTTTCCCCACTTCCAAAGCTTCTTCTGTTTGATGCTTCACAGATTATCCTCCCAGTACCAGAAGCACACATGCGGGTGCTTAGAGCTCCCCAAAGAGGGAATAGTTGCAAGTAATCACACTCCAAATTGGAAATTAATTGGCAATTCAGTCGATAAGGATGACGCTTCATAATTGATCCTTCTATCCAACTGAATTCAAATATGGCAACACAATGATAGAGGAAGGAGGAGGATTAGTTCAATTGCTACTGAGATCAAAGTGCATGCCTTCACACTTCTAATTCTGGTCCAAGCAGTGGGACGAAGGAGAGATGATCTCACAGAATATCTAAACTAGCACTGGATGCCTTCAGTAGCTATTAAGTAGAGAGTACGCTTGCAAGTGAGTTGAGAAATATGGGTAAGATGCCTGAAGTATTATAAACACCATGCAGCATTGTCATCTTGGAAGGTTTGTGTTTAAAGCTGATTATTATGTAAGGGTGGTGTAATATTAACCCTAAACACAAACCTGGACAGTTTTCCTCCAATTCCCTGGCATAAATGTAGTTTTAAACACAGAGTTTTGTTTTTCTTTAATAATGCTACTGGAACCAAAGCTGGTTTTAATGTTCGCCTTACAGAATGTCCATGCCGGAGAGCAGCATTTCCTCCCTCTTACAATAACCAGCCTCAGGCTGATTCTTTTGCAAAATGCTCTCGTTTCCAAATGTAAATCAACCAGACAAGTCTCTGAGTATACACAAAGCAGTTGGTTGAACCCTATATAGTTATTACTCCCCCAAACTTTCCTTATGAGAACATATGTGTCCTGACCCTTGGGGAAGAGCTCTCTGGAAGTGAGCACATCTCTTTCTCACATGCTTCTCATCTAATTATGTCCCTTGCCACTCTGGTGTCTGGCCACAGGGTCCAGCTACAAGAGGAAGGGCTGATTCCCCACCTGTAATTCCTCAGTCTCAGCAGCCCCTTTCACTAGCTGTATATCCATGCTATTCCCGGGGTCTGTCTGGCCAACCACTGCACCTGCCCTTGAGCTAATTGCTGCCGCCGCCTCCTCCTGCTGCTGCTGCTCCTCCTCCTCCTTAGGACTCCTGCTATTCAAACCTGCACCTGTCTGTGATAGACCTGGATGCCCACTGATGCTGATGGCCTGTAGCCAAGAGTGGTAGAGGCAAGTATATGCATTTCAGACTGATTTGGGTAGGAAGTGCCTAAGATGTGCAGCTTGAAAGGCAGCTCTTATGGGAGTCATCAAGGACATCCCACAGCCCTATGCACAGTGATTCAGAAAAACTTTGTCTCTTCAAAAGTAAATTGCAATAAACCAAGTGACAGCACAAAGCAAGATAGAGCTAAATATCCCTAGCTTCTCTACGGATGCAATATCTCTGCACAGAATGTGCATACTTATGGCAGCAAGATCATAAGTATTAGCAAAAAGAAAGCAATCCACCCACGCATACGCACAAATCATCCAGACTAGCTATGTTAGGGATACAAAACTAAAACCTTTGTTGATAAACACAGTAAATGAGTGTTCATTCCTATGGGTTGTTTGCCAATTTTTTGAATTAATGCAGCAAACATTGACTAATTGATCAGTATAATGAATTCATTAATTTGGGGTTTTAAAAAGCCAAATAATGTATAATAGCAGCTGACCCTTTTTAATGGCAATTCAATGCTGCTCAACACTGTTGAACAATGTTGTCATAAATGAACCAGACACATTTCTAGATTCAGGCAATGCAAATTGGCACACTCTTTCACACAACGAAGCAAAGGTAGCCAACCCATGTTGTCTCCAAGGACCAAAATGTAGGTTGCGGGCGGCAAGCCTGTGTGTGTGCATGCTCATGCGTACACACAGGCACACACACAGAATTTCCACCATCCTTCCACTCTGGAACACATACACATCCTTCCTCGATACACAAACTGACCTGGAGATGCATTTCCACTCTTTTTCCCCACCCTGACATTTCAGTGGCAGGGGAAGGGAATTTTCCTTCTCTGTACACTGAGATAATGTTTGAAAGCAGGGACTGCCTTGGTGGCAGCACAGTCCTGGCGTTCAATAGCTCTCCTTGCTGAGCCGGAGAACAGCAAGACCCTTGCTCACTCCAACAAGAATTGATTGCGCTACTCCCAACCCATCAATCAGCTCTTTGGTGTGCTGGGAAAACCATGATATACATGAAGAGAAAGACACATGGTGCTGACTCACCTTCTTTCCCTCATCAACATCAAACGGGAGCTATGAGACAGACATATCCAATATGCAATTAATGTCCATGTTTAAAACTGCTCAGGGTTTGGTTCAGCAGTTACAGAGATTTCTTTAGAACTTGTCATTCTGTGTTTAAATGGGCAAGCTCTCTTAGGATGTTTTAGTGTACTTCCAGAACCAGTCTTGATTATGCCTATTGCTGCCCAAGTTGATTGTTGACTGGCTTTAGGGCGGTGTTGGGATTACCTTTTGAAAGCGCAGATATGCTGTGTATCAGAAGCCCAAGATGCTTATGCAACTGGGTTGCTCATCCCTCAATTGCTCTCAGGTTGTTTGGCTCTCAATCCTGTCCCGGTTGTAATCCATAGGATTGAACTAAGAGCATATGTACCATATATGTACCATATAAGTGCAAATTGAGTCCCATTTGCTACGTTTGGGTTACCTCTGAAATCACAACACCATTTAATTGTAAATTCCATTCAACTCTACATGTAGAAAATTATGACCCTATTAAGGTTCACTAGAGCCCTGTGTGGCTTGCATCTTACTGCTTAATGGTCACTCAATGGTACTGGCTTAAAATCTCTAGCATGCTAGAGGCAGAAGCAGCATTAGCATAAGCTTGGTGGACAAGCAGCCTGCCAGAATTGCCTGGGGGCGTTCTACGCAAAGGGCAGAAAACCCAGAACCTTGAAACCTTGGTAGGAGAGTCAGCTAATGCGCTTGGAAAGTGATGGGAGGTGTAGCTGCACAGAACGTTCTCTGTGCCCTTTTATTTAGGGGCAGATCCTGGAAAGGATATAAAATAATCTAAAAGCATATAGCACTGGATTAACTTGTTTTGTCATGATGAATTTTATATGACTTTGTCTCAGATTACATTAAGATCACAACTGATATCTCAAAACTAAAAGATTGTTCAATATGTTTATGTCCAATTCTTTTAACTCCACTTACAATGTATGTACCTGTTTAGTATTATCAAGATACATGAAACATCTGTGATAATAGTAACAATGACAATGATGATGAACAACATTTCTATACTATCCAATAACCAGAGCTCTGTGGGTGGTTTAAACTTTACAAATACAATAAAAAACAGAACAGTTCACAGTTATATAAGCACGCACACAAATGGAAAGTTCACTTTCACAAAGAGCCTGCAATCTAAATTTCAGCATTTGCACAAACACACAAACAAATCCCCACCACACACACACACCACAGAAATGCCCAAGCAAGAGAACTGCTGACTTGCTCAGTCAGACACTGATCCCAACTAGAGAAGATTAGGACAAGAATCAAAGCCCCATTCAATTTAATTACCTAGATGTCAAATAAGCATATGTGAAAATGAGAATTGGACTATCTCTAAATACGGAAGCATTTAGCACCTGTTGTGAAATCCTTGTATTGTATAATGTTATGAGGAGTTCATGCTTAATTACATCTACATAAAAAGAATTATGGGTGCAATTCTTCCCATTGAACTCATGCATTAATGGCTTCTGTTGTTCATGAAGCACAATTCCAGTTCAGGCATGCAATCAGTGTTTTATTTTATTTTTTTTGCTACGCACATGCAATCTTCCCATAACGCTGGTTGCTACCTCTTCCTAATTTTTGCTGAAATATAGTGTAAATGCACTGTAAAATACTTACGCTCTACAAAGTATGAGCTTGCATCAATCTTCCAGATAATTTGACCTCGGTGAGAGCCATTCACCCCACGATTTTTGTAGTCCAGGAAGTTTTCAGACAAGACCTCGTCTGCAAAGGTAACAAAATAAAGGAGGTCCAATTATTTGAGAGTGAAGAGAAGAATGTCCTCCTTTACACAGTTCATACTTAAACTGTGGCGTTCACTACCACAAGAAGTAGTGGTGGCCCCCAAGGTGACCATATATATCCCCCAGTATCAAAGGAAGTATACATCTCAAAACCAGTTTCTGGGGAACATGAGCAGGAAGGAGCTATTGCATTCGTGTCCTGTGGTAGGTTTCTCATAGTCATCTAGTTGGCCACTGTGTTGGCCCAGTGCTGGGCTACACAGTCCTTTGGACTGAATCGGAATGCTGCATCTTCTGTTAAGGACTGAAAGGACAGGCTACTGAGGTTGGTATAACTTCTTTTTGAATGACATATTGGGTATTATCTTAGACAATAAACTAATAGCGTAAGTTAGCTTAAGGAGGTTGATGCCAGGAAAAGCTCTCTTCCCTTGCTCCATGCTGAATGTTCCTCTATAAAAATTAAATACATCTCTTCAAACAATGAGACAACAGGGTGATGGGTTCTTGCTGGACTTTCCCTAACTCTGGCACATTAGTTTTCTATGTGTATAGGAAACCTTTTTCACTGTGGAACATCCTTGCTTGCTTGCTAGTTGCGAAGTCGCGTCCGACCCATCACAACCCCATGGACAACACTCCTCCAGGCATTCCTGTCCTCCACCATCACCTGGAGTCCACTTAAGCTCACACCTACTGCTTCAGAGACTCCATCTGTCCACCTCTTCCTCTGCTGTCCCCTTCTTCTTTTGCCGTCAATTGTCGATTGTGGAACATCCTACACATTCTAATTGCCTAAGATCCTTTTACTTGTCCAGGTTCAGAGCATTGCACTGTAGAAGCATGGACCTCAGCTCTGTCCTCCAGTGTATTTCAGTTAAGCATTTTGTAGGCCCATCACATCGTCAAATGATCTAAAATGGTTAACCTAACAACTTTCTCAAATAATATTAGCTTCACAAATTGTTCCATTGATTTCAGAAAGGCTATATGAGAAGCCATGTTCCCTCCTCAGGGGAATCTGGGAACTCCTCAGAACAAACTGCAGCTATCATTTCACGATCTAGCTGGTACATTTGCGCTAGTGAACTTTAAACCTGTCTTACTTCCAGAGCTAGTATTAGCAAGGCAGATATTGACTCTCGCCCACACAAAATAATTGCTGAAGAGTAAATTTCAGATCTCTGAGGGAAACAGAAAATGCCTTTTGCCAGAGAAAAATAGCAGTTATTCGAATTGTGCATGGACATAAAATAATGGAAACTTACTTGGATACATCATCTGGGTACAGCAATGTGGCTATAGACAAGCTAAAAATCATATAGGAAAAACAAGACATTCTACTTATCTAATGTTTTACTAACATTTCACCACTGTGTATAACTATGTAACTATGTAGTGATGGGTATACATACAGACACTTCCATCCTGTTTTAGGCAAACATAACATATTTGTTTCAGAGGAAATGAAGTACAGACTCTTATGGGCCATATTGAATTAATAACATTTCTTCCAAAAAGCTCCTGACACCAGACACAGAAAATGACCCCCAGACCCCTGTCTTAGAAAAAATGGTTTCCCAAGCAAAAAACAAGTTCAATGCCTCTGCTACACAATGCCTTTCCCAAACCATACCTTTAACTGCACTTTTGCCAATTTCACAATTGTGGTGCATGATTTGCTTGAATGGTTTACCCACTGTAATAATTTATTACACTGTAAATTTATTTGGATGCATGAATCTAATCACTCACACCTCACACACATACACATTCATTTCTTGAATGGACACTATTGTTGCACATTTTCCCATAAATTAAATTAAAAGAAAATGAAAGAACATTAACACAATGCTGGCCACACAGTTCAGAACTGCTTGCTTGACAAGTTAAGGTGAACTGGCATATGGCGTGCCAGCATTGGATATTTTTGCACTGGAAGCAAAAAGGTGTCTGTTGGCTCTGAACCTGAACTCTTTTTTATTTAAATCAAACACTTGGCAATGGACATTTGAAGTATGAAAACTGTATCCTCTTTGGAATTTGCTGCGCTCATGTATTTTTCTGGTATTGAATATACAGTCACTGGAAATAAATGCATCAATGCAGCACCAACTGCATCTGCTACAGAGGCAGCATCTGCTCTTTTTCTGCTACACATGGGCAGAAAACAATACATACAGGTGCCCAATAACACATTATACCATCTCTTCTGTCATTCCGTGTCATTCCATGCAGACATGGCAGTCCACAACTGGATGTGCTGCAGTGCGTGCCCAGTCATGGCCTTTTCTCACAAATCCCTGGCCTGTGGCGCATGTTTTACTCTCTTCCCACCAGTGATCATTGCAATAAGCCAAAAGCACATCAAGACCCTTGATTCATATGGGATCCATGAGCCAAACTCCACATCACAGAAACCATGGAGCTGAAGCTTATTTTTTCCCTTTACAATAGGAGAAACAAACGCAGTTCTGATTCGGACTGGGACCATCATGCATCTCAGCAGGAAGATAAAGCCCCACTGATTTTTCTCAGCTACTGGGTGGAAGAGAAATGTAACAAATGATTGAATAAAATAAAAATAATTAAACCCTCACACCCATATGCCAAGAGAAATTTTCCCTTCCACTGCAGAGAGGAGGTCTGGTGAAAAACTTTGTGGGGGGGAAGTTTTGTGCCTTGCCCTCCACTGTGTGGAGGATCATGTGCAGATACCCCAGAGTAAAGGAAAAATCTGCTCCTCAGGTACACACCTCACAATTAGTGCAACTTCTAGTCTAGTCTACATGAGTGCCATTTTAGCTGCAAACAGCCAAGTAATGCATTAGTATTCAAGCTGTGCTTGAAGATACTTTTTGGAAGTTTGTCAGGTGCTCCTCAATGAGAAAGGTGGTCATGGAAAACCTATTTCCATGAAAGACAGTAGCCACCTTTCACATATGATTGCATCATAATTTTACCAGGGAGCAGCCCAAAATGCTAGCCTCTCCCCCAGACATTGGCTTGTGGGCTAGTTGGAGCACCGAAATAAATGTGTGTGCAGCCACAGGAAAATGCTGGATACCTTCAGCACTGAGTTCAAGCAGAGCAGTGGCCAGCCCTACAGATCTGGTCATGTTTTGTGTGAATTCTAGAAGCAAGTGCAGAAACTCTTTCAGCCTGGGGACCAAATTGCATTATGTAGAAGCTTCTGCAGGGGTGGGCAGAGCCCACTGCGAACAGAGTGGAGCCAACATTATTGACTTGTTTTACTTTAAGGCTCTTACTGCCAGTAGTTAAGCCTTGGAAAAGTCCTTCCAATCTTTTATAACAGGGAAAATTGCACAAAAGCCAGGAAACCACCAAATGACCAGTGGCTAAAAGGGTATGGACATCTGAAGAAAACTGGGGAAAGGATTTGGCCCTCAAGACTGAGGTTCTGCACCTCTGCTCTAGAACATGCTTCCAGATTCTCTGAAAAGCACAGTGATTTCGTGGTTTTCAAAACTGATATATTATTATTAATATTAATATGAACATTTCTAAGCCACCCATAGCTGAAGCTGTTTGAGTGGTTCAAAAGAGGATATAAAACAATAAAATACAACACAAAACGGTATTTAGAATGTGTAAAAATAATTAAAATACATTAAATATACATTATTGAAAGACCTGAGCAAGAAGAAAGAAAAAAGCCACTTGGATAAACCAATCAGGCTCCTGGATGTCCTGGGAGATCTTTTAAGGCCTTCACAAAGAGGGCTGTCTTAACCTAGCACTGAAAAGATGGCAAACTTGGTGACAGGTGGGCTGCAGCAGGGATGCTGTTCCAGAGATGGGGGCCACCACAGAAAAGGCCCTCCCTCAGTCACCATCCTCCAAGCCTTTTGAAGGGTTGACACCCAGATGTTCCCTAGGTGTCTGGGAAAGAAGATGTTCTTCTTCTTCCTTGAAAGAAGATGTTCCCTAAAAAAGTCACAGCTGTACAGCAGTGCTCTAGGGGTATATACTATGCCTTTTCACAAGACAGTTTTGTCTAAAGTTAATCTTTCATTAATTTCCTTTCACTGTGAGCTTAGGATCAGGACTTTTATGCAAGTAAACTCAGAAGAATATTGAGAAAAAAATCTCACTAATTAGAGGGTTTTTTTTAATTGCATACAACTTTAGAGAATTTGCCTTTTAGGGGGAAAATAAAATTAAAGGCAAAAGAGAAGAGAAAGAATCATGTGGATTTAAAAGCAAAGTTTCAGCAGCTAATTAGGTCAAGAATATTTCTGACAAACTTAAAAGAAATGGTTGAATAATGAAGAAGAAGAACAAATACAGCCTAGAAATTGGACCCTAGAGGTTCTGTGCATAATGAACTTTTATCAGATATCTTTTTTAAATGATTTGGTTTTCCCAGAAGGTTAGTATAGAAGAAAGTCTAATGTAAATCAATAAGCACAATGTTACAGTACCCTCACATGCAATTCATGGACTAAGGCACATGAAAGAACAGTTTATGTACTGGATTCTGTGTTAGGCATTCATGACCTAAGTTAAGTGATCCAATGGTATGCAAGCAGAGCAAGGTTTAATATTGCAGCTGATATTTAAGCAGGCATGCCTAACAGTTTCACAAAATATTTTCTGGCATGTTTCCCCTTGTATTGCATATTTTATTGGTTTTACCATTCTCAGTGGTTAAACATTCTTTTTGTTCTTAGGCCTGTCTCCCTGACATGCTGTTTTCTACATGCAGGCCTATTTTTTGTTCTGTTGGGGCAACATTAAAACATAAAAATCAACAAAAGCCCAATGAAAATAAAAAACTGTCTAATATCTGAATTGGTAAAGTATAGGAAAAGGTAATTCAAAGTCTCTGAAGCATATTTTAAACACCATGCTAGATGCGTTAGAAAACCAAACCAAACCAAACCAAACCACTGTTTTTTAACTTCATGGCTGGTATTATCTTTAAACGTGGTCAAAAAGGCTTACAAAGGATGTACAACCCAGATCCTTACTATGGTAATGGCCAGAATGAAGCACAGCACACTTAAGACAGCTTCCAGTTGTGCTCATACTGCCATAGTTAAGTGAACTGACTCAGTTTTACCTGCCTGTCTGACTCCATGATCCTGGGATCTGGAACCTGACTGTCTCTCTGGAGGCCAGAACCTCTGCGGCTTTGGGGGTGGGGCAGGGAGCATGTCTTGCTCAGCCTCTGCCAATTGCTATGCTGCACCACAGAGAAATGGCAATGCAGCTGACAAATTACAACTGCAAGACCACTGTAGCATTCGCTACTGAGACGTATCTTCAGTTGCCAACAACACAGGTAAGTGCAATCACATCTCTCACTTCATTTTGTATACCTTTGCAAACTGCCCTTGTAACCACAGATGTCTAGGCTGGAGATGGTAAGAGCCAACTCTGTGACAAAATGGCAGTTCACATGAAAATCATCTAGAGGCATCACTAGTCTTTTATGCAATAAAGGAATTATTGTGGTACACGGTTTGGATCCACATAATGTAAAACTTAACCAAGATTTTCTTGAAACTTAGGAAGCAGCCTTCCCCTGAGCCTTCTGTGGGTCCATCTAGTCCCACAGAACACTGTCAACACTAACTAACTGCAGTGACTTTTCAGAGATTCAGGCAGAATCTAACAACGGGAGGTAGCATACAGAAACCCAGACTCGAGCTCTTTTTCAGTGAGTTTATGTAGACATGACAGCAAGCATAATTTTCCACAGGTTGACTCACTAATTCTTCCAGGCATGCATAAAGGAATACTGACATTGTTGGACTGATACCAGTGACCCAGAGATGGAAGTCCAGCATGACAAATTGCTGTGACAAATATCCCTCCACCCATCAGACATGCAGTCATGTTGCAAAAGATGGTTACTCAAAATGATCATACCATATATGGTGGATATTTCCAAATTGTATGTGTTTTCCCTTATATCTCTCTATTTTTTCCCCTTTCCCTTTACTGGAGAGTAAGTGCAGCTGGCTCTGATTTCACATATGAAGATCACATTCCAAGAGGTGAAGGATTAAACCCAACACTCATTTGCTTCCCAAAACACCACACCAATCACCCATGGGGATTAAAAAGAAAAAAGACAAAAAGCTTCCATTGGCTCTAAGCTGTGCAGCCTTTTACTGTTTTTCTGTAGCATGCACAATGTACTTTGGAGCACATGTAAATGTGCTGTAATTTATCACTACAGCAAGGTCACAATTTCAATTTTTTAAACAAGTGGAGCTTGGAAAATAGTTGTTTACCAACCTTCCTCCACTATATCTACATATTTGGTTTCATCCTTTCCAAGTCCAAGCCCAACTAAGTTACTGCTTCTCAGCAAAAACCACTATTAATCTGACATGATTAAGTTGGACACATGTGAGTTCACCTCCTTGAATTCAGTGGGACTTGCTCGTAAATATGTATCTTTGGCTGTAATGCAGAACAAGACATTCATTCACCATGACCAAGCTGAAGGCAGCAAAACAAGAGCAGGATAAGCCTCCTGTTGCTATCAATGTTTGCTAGACCTCCTGCTACTGATCTTGCCTGTTTGGGGTTGAAAGTTGGGCTTGGGTCATCCTGCAATTGCAGTGGGCTGTATTCAGCTTGATTGGTCAAATGCTAAGTGGACCTGCTTTAGAAGCATTTTATGTTTGCAAAGTTAACAAAAACCCCAATATAGGATTGACTTACCAATGAGATACATGCCGATCCAGTCCCCTGCATCCACTTCCTCTTTTATATCCCAGTAAATCACTAGATCCTGTGAATGTCCTATGGAATAATAGGAGCTGCTGACCATGAGAGTAGACCGGCTATCCGAGGTGACTAAGTCAGTGTCACTGGTAGAGCGTGGAATAGTGACTGTCTCATGGGGGCCATTCCCGAGGTCCATATTGTGGAACTGGTCTGGATTGTAGCTGTACCTCAGAGGTTCTTTGCACCGGCGCCGATTCTGAGAGTTCCGAGATGGAGACGCCATGGCAGCCAGGCCCAGGAACCTGTTCTGATACAGATTCTGTCAAAACAAAAGAGGGGAAGCACTGAAATTCAGAAACTATTTTTGCTGAATCTGATATATATGCATTTTGGAAAATAAAAATGAGAAAATGAATAAATGAATAAATGCAATCTTCCTGCATGAGTACATGTCCAAAATCCCCCTAAACAACTTTCAAATTGCTTATACCCTTAATGCATATTACAGACTACAGTGCATAATGAATTAAAGCCTTGTCAACAGCTGCCATTAGCTGGCTGTCATTAAGTCTACAATTATCACTGTCCCTCTCTTATGATGAAGCAACATGAATTTGTACCAGCATGTTTTGCTAAGTTGAATTCATTCTACTAGCAATGCAATATTACTTAATAAGATACAAAACTTTCATTAGTAAAAGACATTCCCATTTGATTCTTTTATTTGGCCCATAACCAGTCTTTGGCAGCTAAGCCAGTATCCTGGTCTCTGTCCTACTGCAGTCATTTTTATTTACATCACTTGGCCCATCTTTTTCAGCAAGAAGATGAAGAGTCACCTTGATGAAAATCACTGGTGTTTGCCAGCTAAGCTCTTTCCTAGGCTACAGCTATTGACAAGTACATTCTTTGCTCAGTATTATACTGTGCCAGAAGTGAGAATTTCAGCTGAATCCCATTGGTGCCTAAATGTTGGACTACTGTGCTGCCATAACCGTCTCACCACCTTCTGTTTCTATGTAGAGACTACTTATGTGCAGCATCACATAAGCATCATCAATCCAGATGTGGAAAAGGAAGAATGGCTGTTTGGATATCAGCCTTTCCTTGAAAATTGGGAATTTGCTCTGTGTTGGAGCCATTCCCCATGGCAAGTCACATGGGGCAGCAGGTCACCACATATCTGCTGTAGGCTTTGCTTTCTACATTGCAGCAAAATGTTCCAGTTGGTGGCTTCCAGTGATGTGATGGAACCAATAGGAAGGTTGATCTCTGTGTTGAGCAATTTCACAGACAAACTGTCCAATGAAGCCTCCATGAGGATGAGAGTTCGAGCAGCCTCTTCATGGCAGACAGTTTGCCAGAAACAAGCTTCTGGAACCAGTGGATGCACCGCATCCCTCTTTGGCCATTGTGCCCCGTTTCATAATTACGGTTGGAGGGATCCTGTCATAAGCCCAAGCCTTCCTTCCTTGCCCTCTGCTCTAAAACATTAGACAGATCTTTATTGCCATTTCACAGCTAACAAGACAACTCTAAAAGCCCCCTGCCTGACAAGCTGAACAATAGCCTCTGCTCATGTAAGTGAATGTTGAACATTTAACACTACAGGAGGCAGTGTAAATCTGAGTAACTAAAGGGGAGGGGTAGCACAAGGCTGTGTAGACCAGGGAAAAGTTTTTGCTAAGCATACTCATAAGTCCTGTGCCCAAAACGTGCTACTGACTTGCTTCAAAATGTGCTACACTAGCCTTGCTGCATGTGAGGGCCCACCTGCCCATTCTATTGAATGGGACCCTACACTTCTGCCCCAAATCTTACACTGACAGCATTGCTGTGTCTAACCCTGTTGAACGAGACAGGCAGTCCACAGAAAGCCCATCAGGAGGATGAAACCTCGCCAGCCAATAACCAGCAGTTATAACCAGCATCTCTTCTCCACTTCTTCTCCTCTTCCTGCAGTTGCAGGGCATGATGCTCTGGGACGTTTATGCCAATGGATGAGAGCAGGACACAGTTCCTTTCGTCACCTGATCCACAGCTCTGCTTCTGCAGGGCAGAACTTGCACCCTTCCAAACGCCCTGTATTTAGTAGTTGGGTGTGAGTTAATTCACACAAGGCAGTGTAGGAAAGAAAAGCTACCTGCCTGTGTGCACTGTTCCGTGTGAAGATTCCATCCACTTCTCTCTTTTTTAAATCCAGTACTCTTTAATTGGAAAGCCACAATTGACCACAAATTCCCAGTGAAAGCCATTAGCAGGAAAGCAAAATACATGAGTCTGTCTTCCCACGCAGGAGTACATGCAGATGCAAATATTTCTACCTCTAGATGTACATGCACAATATTATCTGTGAAGCAGCCTTGGAGCTAAATTCACACACCACTCAATAACAGCAACTTCAAGTGTTTAAATGCCCGTGTGGAACAGCCATCTCAGACTGAAGGTTATAGGCAGAGCTTTCATATGCAATCACATTACGTGAAACACAATGCTTTTAATTGGAGACAGTTCATACAATAGGCTGGGAAACACTGAATAACAAGTTATTAAGTAGTGTATCTGTGAATCCAGTGGAACGTGCCATAGAAAATAACATGACAATCAAGGTCCTTTCTGTACCAAGACCCTTGAGTGCTGCTGAAACACAGTTCTTTTGCAATCAGCCAGAAATGTAATTAAAGGAGAGGTTCCACATGACAATATTGTGCTATATTCCTGATAACAATCCCATTGTACCTGTCCCCACTGGCAAGATCATAAGTATGTTCACTCATAAAGTTATTCATCTCCTTTTTGTAGCCAGAAAAGTGTCATCATTTGATCATTCATCTTTTTTATTTATATGGTTCTAGCTCAACAGATATTGAAGCAGAAAACAGAATAACATTACAACTTAATCACAGATCCTCAAACTTTTTAAACAGGGGGCCAGTTCACTGTCCCTCAGACTGCTGGGCGGGCGAACTACAGTTTGAAAAAAGATGACCGAATTCCTATGCACACTGCACATATCTTATTTGTAGTGCAAAAAAACCAGGAAAAAACAATACAATATTTAAAATGAAGAACAATTTTAATCAACATAAACTTCAATGGGAAGCTGAATGGGAAGTATAGGCCTGCTTTTGGCTAATGAGGTGATCCATGTCTGGTTCCATATTCGCTCCTCTCTTCTATATTCTCACTCCTCTCTTCTGTATTCAGAGCCAACGCACGCGTGCAATAGGGGGAAGAGCCGGTGCGTGCACAGTTCACGCTGGCAAGACCAGCACAGCAGCAGGAGCTAGCCAGAGCTAGCAGAGAGAGCCGGCACATGTACAGTTGAAGGGAGCTGTCTCTGCTAGTCTCCAAAACTGAAAGAGTACAGGGTACACCTGCGCCGGCTCAGAGCTTTCAGTCAGCTCTGAGGCGGGCCCCGGTAAATGACCTTGGTGGGCCGTATCTGGCCCACGGGCCATATTTTGAGGACCCCTGACTTAAAGGATGTTTTATTTGTGAACACATGCTTCAGCATGAAAAGGAGAGCCACTAATTACTGGGAAAAGAAATGCGGTAGCAGGGCACGGTTGCCCAACTGGAACATGTAGTGCACACACGGCTATGCCAGCAAAACAGTCTGGTGTCACTTACATCATCTCTGAGTCTCCTCCTTGCCCTTGTCAACATTATACGAGCAACAGATCAGGCACAAGAGCTTTCTCCCACTGACATCTATCATGCCTGCATAGTGATGATATATCATAGGACAGGGTAGAAGCTGACACCTGACTGCAGCACGCCACCCCAGGAAATCAGTTGCACACAGTGTGGTTCTCTGCCCAGATGCACGGCACTGAAGTGGGTGCTCCGAGTCACCCAGAGCTCCACAACAGCCCCTTGAAAAAGTAGAAGCAAGGTTACTGAGTCCCCCACAACACACACATTCACGGGGCACATGATGCATGACACTGCTGCAGCACTCAGGAGCCTAGCAACACTCTTCACGCTCGCTCCATCACAGCCCCCTGCTGGGCAACCAAGTCCAAGGACCATGTGCTGCTCCAAACTGCTGACTATTACTTTCTGCCCACTATCCACAGATGCAGGGTCCACCCACACCCCAACCAGGCAGGCCACAAGGTGGGCCTACCCCACAAGCAGTGTGATTCTCTGCATGGCTGCTGGTCTTTTTCTCCATGAGAGTAATGCAACAGGTGAATGTGTACCTAACACTGAGCTGCCACTGTAAGCGACACGACACCTGCTACCATGCTCTTTGTCAAACCACCGCCTACTGCACAGGAGTCCTATTGGCATGATCAGTTGACAGCCCCAAGGAATTTCCTACTTAGGGTCTCCTCTGACCTCCGCATGTCATGAGCGGAGCCAGCTAGAGCTGGGGGTCAGACCAGATGGCCCAGGAGAACCCTTCTGACTCACTCTGTTTCTTTTCTCTGACCTGGATATTGTTCAGTAACAGCTTTCATCTGCTTTGTTGCTAGTAAATGGCAGGTAAGGATTCCCTCCTTGCAGACTTAGCATGATCTGGTTTCATATGGCCTCAGGATAAGACTTTGTGGAGGTGAGCAGGGAGTTTGATTGGCTCATGGACTCTTGGTCTCTCTTCTCTCTGCTCACTAAGATTCCCAGGGGGAAAGCCCCTCGGGGTACACAAGCGGGATGAAGAAAGTCAGCAAGGAGAAGGATGTTGGCAAATTCTGCAATGAGTTCAGATGTGTTCCTATTTCTGTGAATGCAACCTGTGGACAGATTCCATGGAAATTGTGCATTAGTTTCTTACCTGTGCGAGGGGGGGGTGCTGTTGTGCACTAACACAAGTGTGCATTATTACAAGTGTATTTGTGCTAACATGCCTCTGCACTAAAGCAAACTAGCTCAAAAAGAACAAAAAATCCAATTCTGTCAATGAACAGAGGATGGAATGCAAAATGTCTGACAGTCCCTGAAACAGGAGACTGAAAGATTTAACAGAATCCATACAGTCCTAACTATTGCTGTATTCCAGCTCAATTTGTTCTAACAAGCAGGACCCACTGCATGTGAATTAGAAAACAGTGGTTCAAAAAGTGCCCCTGGACACAAAAGGAAATACTTGCTTTCAGATTGGGACAGGTCAGTGGAGCTATCTTCTGGAAGCGCCAGTGATCTACGCCATTTCTTCTTCTTTCTGACTGCTCCTGGAACTGCTAAGCTTCCTGTAATGCCAGTGATGGCTCCTATTTTTTGCAAGGATAGTGCAAGAAGTAATTTCATCTTCTTAAAGTGTGCTTACTGCTTTCCACCTTAGGCTACAATATCACCTAACAAAGA